CGTCGAGATTTCGAGGATCTGCTTTGGGTTCGCACTCAAAAAGCTGCTACTCCCGAAATCGACTTTGATAGTTTAGCCAATTTGTCATTGGATGAGTGGGTACCACACGGTCATAGTCGCAGTCACCAGGAAGGATTCCACACGTATTCTAGTCGACGTGCAACTCCGAACGTTCCAACCGCAACTGAAGTTTTGGTCACGGGTGAGTTGGAATGCAGTTTGGCAGAAGCAGCCGCACTCTTTCGATGTCCCGGAGAATTCGATTTCAACTACGCTATGAGCAGCATGTACGAGCGAGCGTTTCAACGCGGGTCGGTCGTCTACAGCTTCAATACCGACGATACATTCCCAGACTGTAAGTTCCTACGTCGGTATCGGTGCGTCAAGACCGCAAGCTTCGCTCGACCTCGTTTGGCTCTGTTTGATACCGACGATCGCTGGTGTTTCCTCGAAGAGTTCGCTCCATTAACAAGAGGCTCACCGTCGTCCGTAAACGGGTTCACAATCTCGCAGCGCTCACTACAGTCAGATGCACTTCCACGAACAGTACGACCACCTAACGAACTCGTTCGACACAGCCACAGTCTTGGCTTTAAGCGTTCCGACAAGCGCATTCACCAGGTCGTTGGTCTATCGATTGGTTACTTGGTTGAAACGATCTGTGAACGTCGTCCTGCAGCGGTACGGATCGTGCTTTACGGCTGCTGTTCTGGTGGAGACGTGGAGTTTAACATCACTCGAAGGAGAATGATGCGACTCTCACACGGTGTGCTCAAACTGCCAGCAATCGTGCGTCGTCGTCGGATGAGCGCTCAAGTACCGGCTGATGTGTGGTCGATCACGAGACAGACATCGACAGCTTCAGTCTCCTCGAGATGCGTGAGCTGTTCGCGAGCACTCCATTGGTTGCTTATGGTCAAGAAAAGTCGCTGTTACTTGTGTGCACATTTCGTGTGTTCTCGTTGCTGGATCCGACAGCCTCTAGAAGCCACAAGTGGCCGTACAATCTCCGTCATCATGTGCTCGAACTGCTTGCACAGCGTTCAGAACTGCAACTACGCTCACCTCGCAGCGTCTTCAATGTCTGACCATGAACGTGGCAGTAGCATGAGCACTTTAAGTCCCCGTTCGGTCGCTGGTGCAGAAGTTTACTACCACACGACACAGGTGTCACCAGATGCCGACGATGCTCCCAACCCAGGACACGCTGTGGTGTCGTATCTCGAAGATATCGTCAGTGACAAAGCAGAACACTCTTCAACAACTATAAGCTTGAGGTCCCAGACTGCCGTCAGTGTTCTCAAACAGCTCGTCTGTACACTTGACGAAGGAGTCAACCGGGTGCATCATTCCTTGAATGAAAGTCCGGAAGATCCAGGGTTTGAGCCCTCGTCTGCACTGCAAAGACTCCGTGCTCAATTCCAACGAGAAGCTTTGCCTCTGGAGGCCTGCGTGCTCTCCAACGCTGTAACTCGTGCATATCCCATCGACACGTCAGGTGGTAGCGCAGGTGTACCTGTCGTTCCAGTGGGTCCCATTCCTCCGAATGAAGCCAATCGGATCCAATCTATTGTCCAGGACCAATTGTTGCTTGCCAGAGGCTCCGACGAACTCGTTCTTATCTGCGAGTTAGCCGCGCGTGAACTGAATTGCAAGGCTGCACTGGTGACTATAGTCGGGAGTACGACGCAGTTCGTATTGGCCAGCAACGCTCCAATCTTCCAAAACACAGAGCTACCTAGAGAACACACATTGTGTCAGCATCTGCTAATGGGCGACAGACCGATGCTCGTTCAGCATCCGGAGGCTGACATCCGCTTCTGCAACTTGAACTTTGTAGCCGACTATGGCATCCAGTTTTACGCCGGCTTTCCCATTTTCAGTCGCGACGAGCTCTCAGTGGTAGGATCACTGTGTTGCCTCGATGTTCGCTCACGAGAGATGGCGCAGTCGCAATACTCCACATTCTTGCATCTTACCAGGACAGCGTCACGTATCATTGTCGAAAAATGTAGCCAAGCTAGCACTTTCACTGTAAGTGTGCTCCAACCGCAACAGCAGCGCAGGTAACAACCCAAGCGTCTTATGCGTCCAGCAGTCATGAAATTAAATCGAAGCATCGAGCCATTCGGACATACTAGTTGTGATCGACCTCAAATACAGTCAGCAGCATCTGACAGTTCCGGTAATGTCTTCTTGATCTGTATAAAAAAAATAAAGTTAAAAGAGTGAGTTATTGCTTTTATTACGGCAAGCAGTTTTCCAAGAAAGGTGGGGCTATCACACGCAAAAGGGGCCTTTTTCGAGTCTTCTTCTCTTGCTTGCGTCATTTTCAGTTGCTTTTTGCCTGCTCTACATCATGCCGCACTAGACAAAACCACAACAGCTAACGTTAGTCCGATCAATCCAACTATGATAAGAGAGCATTCACTCACGTTTCCAGAGGGAGGGACCTCGTCGTCCATAAAATCTGCGCGGAGTTCTGCCTCAATCGCCCGAACCTCCTCTGCGGGTAGTCCTTCGCTCATCATGCTCACAGGAATGTCATCCGAGTTCACTAGGACGACAAAGTCGCCCTTCGGGTTAAGCGTGAACTTGTTGGCCAGAAACGAGTCTTCGCCTTTCTTCCGCTCGTTCTTCGCGTTTTTGTTTCTCTTGCTGGAATGCACTGTCAGCGTCGACTGTGGTCGCATCACATAGGTCGCCGGGAAGCGGAAAATCTGGTCCATCTGGGCACGCACGACCCAGCCGCCTAGAGGCACAGGATCACTGCTAGAGTTTTTGATCACGATACGGTCCTTCTCCAAGTTCATCGACGCAATTTGCACCGCCGACGCTGAAGATGAAAACGTTTCTGTCTCGATAATCGCACGCTTTGCTCGCTTCGACGAAGTGCCGTTCGAGCTCTCGCTCTTCCGCTTGCGGCCCTTTGTATTGGGCGTAGCTACGGCCACTCGACTTTCCTCACGGTCCAAGATGCGTCGGTACTTCATAATCTCAGCATCCAAAGCGATCTTGACATCCATCAGCTCATTAAACTCACGCTCCTTAGCCACTTTAGACGACCGGAATCTCTCCAGCGTTTCTTCGTAAGCTTTACGGTCCTTGGTCGCCTTGGATCGCACTTCACGGTACTCACGCTCCAGCTGAGCCACCTTCTCAGTAAGCGACTGTCGGGCCTTCAAGCTCTCTTCATAGTCATTGGCCGTCCGATCCAGCTCCGTCTTGGTGCTCTCCAGCTCAGTTCGCACGTCATCCAACTGAGTCTGCAGACTACCCGAGACGCTTTCAAAGTGGCTTCGTACTTCCATCTCCATCGACTGCAGTCGGTCCTCTGCGTCTTTCTTCCACTGTGCCTGTGCCTCCAAGTGCTTAGCTGTCCACTCGCGTCGTAACTTGGTCAGCTCTGCATCTCTCGTCAAGTCAAAGTCCACGCTCTTCTTGCGTAGTTCCTCCAGCTCTTTTGTTGCGTCGCCCAGTGCTGCCGAATGCCCACGAAGTTCACGCTCCAGTTCCTTCACGCGACGTCTGGCCAAGTTGAGCTGCGTAGTCTGCTCCGAGAGCGTCTCCTTGGCTGATACAGCATTGGCCTTCTCTCTGTCCAGCTGCACTCGCAGCGTCTCCACTAAAACCTTGGCTTCTCCCAGCTCTGTCTGCTGGGCTCGGAGCTTCACTAGCTCCTTGTGTTGTTCCTGTTCCAGTGTCTGCAGCTTCGCATTCTGGTCGATCTCATCGTTCAGTTTCCTGTTAAGAAGTAATAAAAGCAATGTTAAAAAAGTAAAATCGTTTAAACGAAATAAAAGCAATTCGTACTTGCGAGTTTCCTCCAGCTCCTTGGTCAGCCTGGAGCGCACGCTCTCAAGCTCGAGCTGCATACGCTGTCTGATAGTCTCCAGCTCCCTCTCGGCTGCATGTTTGGCTCCTTCCAACTCGTTCACACCCAGCACATACATCTCCAGACGGGAGTTGAGTTTCTGCAGTTAAAACACGGTGAAAACATGTTAAAGGTTACGAAAATCTTAGTCAAAAGCAGATTTCTTAGTCAGGTTAGGGACGAGATCAACGCGCGAGGCGGTGTTTAAACGCACCTGGAGAGAGGCCTTCTCCTCCATCCGCTTGGACTTGATCGGAGACAGCTCCGTCGGCATCGTTGGCGTCGAAAGGGGGCGAGGCGGACGATGCGGAATACGGAGTGAAGGTGGCGCCAAAAAGGACTTTCAAACTGTCCGATGGGCGTAACTTGATGTTTGTATTGAATAAATGGTGTGGCATACCTAAATGAGACCGTACGAAACTAGCGACTATCTTCGGATCTGGCATCCGTTAATTTCGGATAGAAAGCTAACTTAAAAACTCTTCAAGATACCAAAATATATTGAAGTGATCAAGATACTTTTTTTTGCTTGTCGATGATCAGGAAGTCTAGTCAACTTGTGGCGCATTAAGCTAGTAGCCCCACAACTTATGGGTCCACGGGACTCGCTTGCTTCTCCTTGTCCGCCTCCGCCTTCTTTGGGTCGTACGCAGGGAAGTGGTAGCCTTCCAAACCTTTCTTCGCGTTCCAGAACAGCTCGTATGGAAGCGGTTCGGCTAGAGGCCAGTCGTTGCGGAAGCGTTCCGGCAGGTCTGGGTTCACCAGGAACGGGCGGCCGAAGCCAACTAAGTCGGCCACACCAGCGTGCAACACGCCCTCGGCCTGGTCGCGCGTGTAGCTGCAAGTAGCCATGACGCGGCCCTTAAACAGCGTCTTCAACTCGAACACCGTGAACACGCGGCATTTGTCCGAGCGACCGAAGCCGAAGCCGTCGTGTGTGGCCAGGTAGGACAGTCCCATCTTGCCCAACTCCGAGATCACGTACGTGAACGTCTCATAATTGTCCTCGCTGCCCATGCCGCCGTACACACCGTTTGGAGAGAGACGTACGCCCACGCGGTCGGCAGGGTAGACAGTGGTCACCGCCTCGATTAACTCGCGCAAAAAACGAAAGCGGTTTTCAACAGGTCCACCGTACTCATCAGTGCGTGTATTCGTGCTGGACTGCAGGAACTCATCAATCAGGTAGCCTCCTGCACCGTGGAATTCAACGCCGTCAAATCCGGCAGACTTGGCGCGTTCGGCACACTTGCGGTGGTCCTCGATCACTTGACGCACCTCTTCGATCGTCATAGCGCGAGTGGTGGGAAAGCCTGTAGCATTGCCCTCCGCGTCATGAGTGCGGCCAGTCGAGTAGCACGACGAGGAGCACGACGCCACTTCGTTGCTCGGGTGGAACGACGGGTGCGACTGGCGACCCATGTGCCACAGCTGCGCAAAGATCTTGCCTCCCTCGGCGTGCACCGCTTCGACAATCTTGCGCCAGCCCTCTTGTTGCTCATCCGTGTAGAGCGCGGGAGCTCCGTACCAGCCGTAGCCTTGCTCCGACACAGCGCAGCCCTCCGAAATGATCAAACCGGCACCGGCGCGAGCGGCATAGTACTTGACATTCTCGTCGTTCGGACAGCGCGTCTTGATGTCAGAGCGTGCGCGCGTGCATGGACTGAAGACCATGCGGTTCTTGAGCGTGAGCCCCGGGGCCAGCTCCAGGGGCTTGAACAGCTCGTAGTCGGCGAGGTTGGCAGACATTTTAATAAAAATACTTGGTTGATGCAACTTTTGATGCAGTGGTTGTTGTCGTCGCAGACGAAATGGAAAATGAACTGCATTGACGCCGTCCAAGCGACAAAACAATCGATGATACCGTCGACATCTTTGGGTAAACGTGAACGATTACGGCGCTCGTCCAGCATGACGTAATGTAGCCATGTGTCGTTTCGGAGAGAATTTCAACCAATCACGGCGTCGTGTCAGATGTTCACGTTACGCTGGTTGCCTGTCGTAACCAATTTTTGTGACACATTTTGAACGAGTGAAAAAAAAAATGGTTGTTCATCTATCCATGCAACAATGCGATGCGTAGTCTGTTCACCTAGCCAAGATTTGCATCTACTCCTTCAGGGACGTGGTTTTCTCAACAGCTTGCGCTTCCTCCGTCTTCGTCTCCGTTTTCTCAGCTTGAGCCGCATCCGCCATGGGCTCCTGTGCCGCGGTCACCTCCACGTTAATCTCCTCGGTCACGGTAGTCTCCTTGCTGGTTTCGGTAGTTTCAACCTTCACTTCCTCGACCACAACAGCGGCTTCAACCTTCTTCTCCCCTTCCAGTACTGCAGCAACTTCAACGTTCGGCTCCGTCGTCACCTCCGCCTTCGTCTCGATATCCTCATCGATCTTGTCAATCTTGGCCTCTTCCGGAAGCGGGAATCTAGTCTTGAGCCAGTTGTCGAGGTGGGCAAACACCGCGTCACGCTCCGGATCATCAAACAGCGCGTGGAAATATTCGTCAAAGACCTTGAACTCCTTATCGCTCGATGCCAGCCTGTTGTAAAACATTTGTGCCAATTCCAAACTCGTCACCTTGTCGTTCGACCCCATCATCATCAAGATGGGCAACTTGCACAGATCGCTGCTCTTATCCTCGATTCTCTTATCAGCTTCCAGCGCCTTCATGGCCTTGAGCGATTCAGCTCCCATTCTCGCCGTCACCGGCTCGGAAACAGTCAACGGGTCCGCCTTGAAATCATCCAGATAATCCTGATCACGGCACAGAAAATCCGCGTTGACTGCCGGCACAATTCTCGCCTTGGGCACCAATTTGCTCAGGGGCCTCGCAAACACCGCCTGCACTCTCAGTATGGCCGTCATCTCCACCAGCAAGGCCGGAGCGACAAGCACCACGCCGCTGAAGGCGTGTTTGCCGCTCAAAATGGTGTGCAGACTCACCAATGTGCCATAGGACATGCCGGACAAAACCATTTTGGGTTCATTATCCATCGAGAGCGACAATTTTGGGTACAACTCGGTCTTTGCCATCGTGATAAACTCGTTCGTGTCATCCACGAAGTAGTGGAACTTGGCACCGTGGGCCCTCAGACCGTGATGGTCCGAGTCGCTGGCTCCGTGACTCAGCAGGTCGTACGCAAATACTCCGAAGCCGGCGTTGCACAGCTGCTCGTAGAGATAGAAGTAGCGGCGGCTGTGGTCCCCGATGCCGTGCAGGTACACCACGACCGCACGAAGAGGCGATTTAGCAGGAGGGAAAAGTGCCAAGTAGGACAAGCTCTGGCCACGCGAGTTCTTGAATTTGCCCTCGAGGTGGCGCAAATGCGGCGGCATGTGCTGCGCACGCAGAGCGGAGTTCACACGGGCACGAGTCGCCATACGTACAGGTGTCTGCGCGAGAGGACGAAGTTGTTCGAATGCCGCTTCGATGGGGAGCTGCCGTCATACAACTCGAAAGTATTTGCCTTCAATGGGTGTGGTCAGAAGTCTTGGCACAAATAGACCATCACTCCGGAGACGACTTTAACGTACCGGTACTAATGGTAGTGATGCTATTCTGGAGATGCCAGAGTGTTTGTCGCGTCATCATAACTGGGTATGATCATCTACAAGTAGGTACAGTGATTCATCTCGTTTTCATGGGGGTAGACTATATAGGATTTACAAGCACATCAGGTTTTGACATACAAACAGGAGCATATTTTGCAGAATGAGAATTATATCCGGAAGTTTATCAAATGTCCGAGGGCACGAGAAGGGGAGTGCAGTACTGTATACAAGTAGGTTCACTGCATCCGTAAGCCATAATCCAGCGGCTGTAAGCTTGCAGCCGCCAGCAAAGGAAGAGATCGAGCGAAAGCCGGCGTCTGCTGATGCTAGCGATGTGACGTCACGTCAAATGGCAAGAGTATGATTCATACTTAGTGTTTGAATTACACACCACTGGTGGTGGTGTGTGTGTGGTGACGAGAGCATTAAAGATTGAAAATGAGAAACGATACCGGTTGCACCTTTTCGTTTTGCCTGAGTCAATTGAAAAGAATGGGGAAATACCGATTTTATTGGCAAAATAGGGAAGTGCTGGCACGCTCTCGTGGGTCGTCTCGTGCCAGCGCAACGGTGCTGTCTGTAACTTATGCGGTCGCTTCCTCCTTCTTGGATTCGTCGACCTTAGGCTCCTCCTTCTTGGGCTCTTCAACCTTGGGCTCCTCTTCCTTAGCGGGCTCTTCCACCGTGGCTTCCTCGACCTTGGGCTCTTCCTTAGCAACCTCCTCAACCTTGGGCTCTTCCTTCGGAGCTTCCTCGGCCTTGGGCTCTTCAACCGTAGCTTCCTCAACCTTAGGCTCTTCCTTAGCAGCCTCCTCAATCTTGGGCTCTTCCTTTGCAACCTCTTCAACCTTAGCCTCTTCTTTAGCAGCCTCTTCGACCTTGGGT